CTTGGAAGTGCGGTTGGTGTAATGGATGATAGTTGATAATTGTACATCGGAGTATCGAGTTCTAATCCCAGTTGGGTTCGTTATAATCACTTAAGGGCAAATACCTTTGGGAAAGGTATGAATCCATCTCCCCCAGCTAAGGGTTAATTAGTAAGACTTGTCTAACTAAAACAATTATTATCTCCAAAAACAAAAATTTTTACAATCTAAAAAATACGTTCTGGCTTTTAAATAAATCAACCTTGTAAAATTAATTCTTCGTCGCTATGGAAACACAACAAACGAAGAAGGCGATAAAGCCCATTATCTTGCTTTATTAATAGTTTCTTATTAGATGAGCCACGTTCCTTCAGGACATGGGAGATTATGGCTCTCCATATCTTCCTGTTCCTTGCGGCCCGTAGCAGGTTTTTTTCCTATTCCTATGTCTACCGTATCCCCCTTTCTGCTATCCTTTTTCACAAGCCCGGCAGGGAGGTGGACCGCTGTCTTCTTTCATCTCCCTCGCACTCAATATATATATATAAATATATATATATATATATATATATATATATATATATATATATATTTTTAATCATATCACTCCAAGCAAGGCATGAATGCCACTAGCACGCAAGGGGTTATCGAAAGTGAGAGCAGGAGTAAAGAGGGGTGTTTGAGGAAATGACACAAAGAAGGACGGGGATCAGGACCAAGGCATCAGAAGATGTCGATTGACATTACATTTAAATTTTTGAAAATTATAGCTTTGAGGGAAGCAAGTAGGGGGAAGGGAGTTTCACTGACGGGAAGTGCGAAATAAGAAGCTGTTGGAGTAGGAGAGACGGCTGCATTTAACCGTTTCGACAGTGAAAGGGTGGGACCGAGATTCCAACCTAGTAGTACGCTTAAATTCATGCAGTTTGGAAACCAGTGAAAGTAGCTTGTCAGAGCAGTTGCCATGAAAATACTTGAAGAAAAGACAGAGGGAAGTCACATAGGGAAAAAGCCTGGGCGTACATTAATATTTGGGTAATATTCAATGGCGGCACTCTCGAGGATTTTCCTTCTGAGTGAGTTATTTTCTTTTTTTTTTATGAGTGTAGTATTTCAAGGCTACACTCATAAATAGGCTTTTTCCCTATTTCACCTTTCTTAACAGAATTACTACTCTCCAAAACAAACGTACAGAACAATATCAAGGGATCAAAAGAAAATGGTTGAATCCGTAAACAAAACAATATCGCCACATGTGACAGTAATTGACGTAATTTTCAGTTAATAGTATGAAAATAACGTTCTCGAAATTCTTCTGGTTGCTAAGAACATTTTGTTTTCTTATAATTAGTTACTTTATTTAATAAATTCATTACGTTTTTGCCTTGAAAAAGTCCACATTGGACGAAACGCGTCGGCAACTATTGCAGTTTTCCTATTCTTTTACATTTATAAATATTGTCTTTTTCTACAGGTTAACTCTGAGAAATTTTTCATATATATATATATATATATATATATATATATATATATATATATATATATATAAACACATCATTTACGTCACAACATTGTTTTCTTAATTCACAAAACTGTCTATTTATCTCTATCTACACTGATGATGACTAAAGTCGAAATCTTGGACGATATTTCTTGTACTTTTCTTCCGAAATGAACTTCGGACAATTTCTGATAGAATTTCCTCCTTGTCTGAGAAGAATTAGTGATAATTTGGAAAAGTTGATCTGTAAAATTAATCCACACAAAATGTTTGTTGTCTTTAATAATATTTGTCTTAAAGAATACATACATACATACGTATACAGGTTGGCAATAAAATCACTATAGAGTTACTTGCAATAACAATTAAGAGAAAGCAATTTATCAACAGTCTTGGGTTGAATAGCAGGACAGACCCGGATCTTTAGCCTTCTCTGGCAACCAGTCTACCGCAGAAAGAAATGGCAACTGCGGAAAAAAATTTTCCTCTTTAAGCATGAGATTTTATTGCCACCCAATATACCTGATATATATGTATATATATAAAATATGTGGTGCAGTTCACTTTATATTACATGAATCATTCATACAAAAACAGATTAATGAAGTTAATGATATATCATTTATATCATTAACTTCAATACTCTGTTTTTTGTATGAATGATTCATGTAATATATATATATATATATATATATATATATATATGTATGTGTATGTGTATGTGTGTATGTGTGTGTGTGTGTGTGTGTGTGTGTGTCTATCAGGATGTTATTAATGTTTTATTATAAAACAGCATTTACTTAAATATTTGTATCTATAAAAGAATGTATAAACATAAAATGTCTTTTTTAATTGTCGGACATTGTCCATTTCATCCATTTATATATATATATATATATATATATATATATATATATATATATATATATATTATGAAATGGACAATGTCCGACAATTATATGTCCGGCATATATATATATATATATATAGATATAGATATATATATATACTTAAAAATCAGGAGGCCAGTTGAATACGCGACCTTACGGTCTCATCGGACCAATGAGACGGTAAGGTCGCTTATTTTATATTTTCAGATGTCTATTGAGAACATTTTAATACTACTGTTTCCAGGTCGGTTTCAACTCTAACCATTAAGCTTCTGTCTGTCTGTCTGTCTGTCTGTCTCTCTCTCTATCTATCTATCTATCTATCTATCTATATATATATATATATATATATATATAAATTTGATTAAAGACAATGTCTTTAATTTTTTAAGGTATTTTACGAAATCGATCCTTCAAATCTACAAATCAACCATTCGCCCTTGCATGGAGTATTGCTGCCATATATGGTCTGGAGCCCCTTCTATTTGCCGCGGAGTTCTTGACAAGATCCAGAGACGGATATGTAATCTAATTGGCCCTGATCTGGCGTCTCGTCTATAGTCACTCTCTCACAGACGCGCCGTCGCCTCCCTCTGTCTTTTTTACAAATACTTTCATGGTAATTGCTCTGATGAGATGCTTTCACTGGTTCCCAGACTCCATGAATTCAAGCGCCCTACGAGGCTGACATCCCGCTCCCACCCTTACACTGTAGAAACTTTTAAATGTAGCCGTCTCTTCTACTCCAATAGCTTCATACCTCGCACCTCTCGTCTGTGGAACACCCTTCCCTATTACTGTTTCCCTGAGAGCTATAATCTCCAACTATTCAAATGTAATGTCAATCGACATCTCCAGTCACCTTGATCTACCCACTATCCCTCTCCTCGGCCTTTCTTCTATCACTCCTATCTGCTCTCGCTCCAAATCTTCTGTAACCCCCTGCATCCTAGTGGCTTCCCGCCTTGCTAGGGGTGAAATGCTTAAAAAAAATAAGGTGTTCAATATTGTATTCGAGGTTGTATTTATATTATGAAATGGATTAAGTCTGGCAATTATTTTAAATATTTTTCGTTTATACGTTTTATATATATATATATATATATATATATATATATATATATATATATATATATATATAAGTAAATGCTCTGTTTTTATTTTTTTGTTTAATCAGTATTGATTACATTTTACCTGAATATTTGATAAATTTCGTAGAAAATAAGTATTCCTCCGACAGGAATCGAACCTTATTGGGAATTAATATGTGATCTGATGTCCTGTTAACGGATGATTCAACCACAAAGAAGAGTCTACTATTTATATTATTCAGACTATTGTCCTCATCTTTGTCGCCATATTTATCACAACGTTTCGGTCGTTGTACGCTCCGGCCTTCTTCAGGTGGTTGAAATGTCGAACTGAACCCTTTATTTCGCTCACTGAGATAGGCTTTTCTAGTTAGTTATCTCCTGTTAATTCCCCTATGAAAGTTCTCCACTGCCTTAATCAGGTATTGAACTTTGGGTCTTGTCACTGGATCTAACCAACGCCTTTATCCACTGTGCCATGTGTCCTTGAGGACATTTGTGCTTGAATTTCTGGTTATTATAAACCTAATGTCTTCAGCAATCATTTTTACCAGTGCTCATATTGCAATTTTTGCTGTTATCATTGGATTTTTTTTTTTTTTTTTTACCAAAGCTCATATTGCAGTTTTTGTTGTTATTACCGCTTTTCTCTGGCACTTCTTATTACTGGTTCCCATATTGTATTCATTTCTATGCTTGGTCGGCTCAGGATATTTTTGTGGCCTAGCATATGTGCTGATTCCTTAAGTTTACGAAATATTTCCAATGATGTCCTTTGTATATGATTACAACATGATCCCACAGAGGGCGGTGATCTCCAGTTTCTATCCATATAAGGATCAGCCACGCCTGATTTTTCCACTTCCCCTCGTGTTACAGCTTTCTGGTGTTATTGAAGCCTTACCTTAAGGGGGCGGCCTGTCTCCCCTTTATATTTCTTTCTGCAGCTGCACGGGATAGCGTACACACAGTCTTTCGTCACGTTCTCCTCTATGGGGGTCTTACTCGGGAGAGATATCTGTGAAGTGTCGTCAAGCTTTTGAAGGTTGTCCTGATGTTATATAAACCGCAGATCCTTTCTATTTTCTCTGATAACCCCTTCACATAAGGCAGGCAGACTGTTTTCTGAGTGTGGTTGTCTTCTTGTACCCGCCTATCCCAGTTTTTTCCGGCTGCTGCCATGTACCCAGGATAGTTGTTACGTTGTAGGGTACTACTTATACTGACCAATTCCTTATCTAACGTCTCTGGTTCGCCACTTATGACTTTTGCTCGATGTTGTAAGCAGCGGACGATCCCTTTCTTTACGTTTTACGTATGGATGGTGGTAGTTGAAATTGAGGTACTCTCCGGCGAATGTTGGTATACGGTATACGGATGACTTGAACCCATGCTCTGTTCGAGATATTAGAACATCCAGGAATGGGAGTGTGTTGTTACCCTTTCTCCATCATGAACTGTATCGAAGCTTATTGTGTTCACATGGTCCAGTAGAACCTGAACATATTCCTGGTTGTCAGAATATGAAGGTGTCATCTA